TCACTGACCTAACAAATTTCCTTGGTGAATTGAAAGTTTATTGACAAGCAACATATCTGAAACTCTGGGAATAATTAGATTAAGAGTAATATATATTATTTATGGGTTAGGCATGGGTCAGAGAAAATCTTTGTTGGTAAATTAAAACAATGCACACGTGTTATTTGTCGTAATATCATGCAATATTCAATTCGGCGACCGATGAATCAAAATAGAATCACCGAAGTGCTTCTTGTTGGTAATTTCGCAAACTTAACTTTCCCTCGTGAATCCGGCTGGTTGTGGTTGGAGTTGTAGCCTTTTATTCCAGTTACTGACGTGCTTCTTGTCGGTGAAATGGAAGACCAACTTATCCCATGAATTCGGCTGCTTGCTGTAGGAGTTCCAGCTTTTGGTTCAAATGTCCAACGTTATATTTGTCGGTAATTTGCCAATGCAACCCCCCATGAATTCGGTTGGCCTGGTCGAGCTTGGTTTTGCAGCTTTTTAAGCAATTTACTGACAAGTTTGAAGTTGGTAAATAAAGTTGCCAACTAGAGCTTCATCGGTGATTGTCTTGGTCAACTGCAATTCTATAGCAATGCAAAGATGATCAACTATAAATGGCAACAATATGGATCTCGTCGATAAGTTTTCTATTGCCTGTTGAGACCCCCTTTTCCCCTTTCATTTTGGTCTTCCTCCTTTAATTTTCGTTCTCCTTTTCTAGTAGCAAGTAGTTCTTGCTCTCTTTTGCTCTCTTCTTTTCTTCTAATCACTTTTACATCTTTCTTCTTAGAGTGGTGGATCAAGCAGCAAGTAGTTTGCTCTCCCTTACTCTATTCTTTCCTTCGAATCACTTCAACATTTTTCTTCTTGCAGTGGTGAATCAAGGAGTGGTAAGGATTTTCTTAAGGAATATTATTATTTTTTATATTTTTTAATAATATGGTCCAACATACATCTTGTCGGAAATTTTTCAATTTCCAACATGTTTTAGGTCGGTGAATTAGCAATAAATAAATTGGGTGGGACTGCAACATGTTTACCAACATTAAACTCGTTGGTAATTTGGGCGGGATTGCAAAATTTTTTGGTGTTTCAATTTTCGCCATGAGATCAGTCACCTATGTTAACTTTGTCGGTAAAATAAATACTGACAAAACACACATAGGTACAGTAGACTATATATACTATACTCCAGCCCTCTACCCTACTCATTTCTTCTTTCCTTCTTCTTCTTTTTTCTTCTCCTCCCTTATCTGTGGCTCCTCTTTCTCTTCAGTTCATTAATGTTGCTTGTTTAATTATTTATGTTTATAATTACATTATATTTATATGATTTTAGGTTTATATTTTCTCAATCTCCTCTTTTTCCTTTTTTTTTCTCCATATTTGATTGTATATTATTTTGTGTTATATCAAATCAATTTATTTGCAACTCTTTTTTTTTTTTAATTTTGTTTTTCAGGAAACATTAGGGGATAATCATTGGTAAGTCAATTTTATTTATGCAAATTAACACTAAATTTCATTTATATGTTGATTAGAGCCATTTTGGTTACAATTATAAATAAATACTAACCTAATTTATGTTTTTTTATTTTTTTGGGGAATGGTGTTCTGTAATTATTTATCTATTGAGGTAATGTTTAATTTTTTTGGATTATTTAGTTATATTTTCAGTTTATCATATTATTTTTTTAAATAATGTTTTAATCACCAATTTAAATAGTTTTAATCATTAATTTAAATAAATAAATACAATAATTTTTTGTTTCTATGGTAAAATTTTCATATAATATTTATTTTATGCTAATGAATATTATGAATTATTTAGTATTTAA